ATTGAGCGGCCTGTAGAAGGCAGATGCGCGCCGCTGGGTCCTGCTCCCTCGCCGCCCTCCCGCGCGGTGGGGTGCTGATAATAACAGCCATCTCCTATCAGTGCACACATACCCGATGTCCAATGCCCCGGGCATTGTTCTAAAGCCTCTGGCGAGTCCATGTCATAGCCCCCACCCCTGCCTTCCCTCTGCTACAGAGGCGGAGCAACCCAGAGGTGACTGAATGGTTAAACAGAAAAGCCACGGTTTGGACCGGAGTGGCTGGGATTCTGCACCCAACCACCCCTAACCACTGGGCTACACTGCTGCTACCAGCGGGTCTCAACCTGGGGGTGGAACAGCCCTTTCACAGGGGTCGCCCAATTCATGACAGTATCAAAATGATAGTGATGAAGTAGCAACGAAAATAATTTTATGGTTGGGGGGTGTGTCAAATGGTCAAGGCATTAAGAAGGTTGAGAACCACTGCGATAAACCCTACCAGAGTTGCTTAGGGGTCCTGGGCTAGTTCCTTGACCACCCCCGGCAGGCCCTGGCTAGGCAGCACACAGAGCTGGCTTCCATGTTTGGACCAACCTCTTTCTCACCAGCTTTTCTGATAAGGGATACAAGTTGAAAGGGCCTCCTGCCTGAGCAGGGCCTCCGGGAGGATACCCTGCTCTCCCAACTTCCCATGTAGCAGGGAGAACTTGCCGGAATGAAGCAGGTAGGTTTGCATGGGCATCCTTGGATGCTCTGATCTTCGATAGAGCGATAGGACTTGCCCAGGGTTATTCACATGGCAAGTGGTGGTGCTGGGATGTGAACCCAGGCCGTCAGCTGTCAAGGCTGTTCTTCCTTAACCCCTCCATTGACTGCGGCTCATCTCAGAAGGGGAAATGAGTGGTTGAGTCACAGGCTTCTTGGAGGAGGAAGGGGTAGGAGGGACTTGAGCTAGGCCTGGAGGATGAGCCACATTTGCAGGCTATGGAGAGGGTGGCTTCCAGGGGAGGGGACACCCACTGAGGTTTGCATGGACAGACCACAGCCAGGGATTGGGGGTGCCCCCCTTCCAAGGACCTTTGAGAACCTATGCACCTAGTTTCTAGAAGTTCAGTGGGGAGAAGGGAGCTACAGGACCAGTTGGTCCAAAGGGGCCCCTTTGACTAGGAGATTGCCAAGGTCCAAAGTACAGGAAGCTCAGGTGCAGGTCTGACTGCAGACATGGTCTAGAGCCCGTGTTTCAGTAGACAGGCCAGGGAGCTGGGATGGCTCTGTCGGCTCACACGTCTCAGCATCTCCTGTGTAGTGGACTGGGTTTGGACTCTGGTGCCTTGTACAGCCAGCAGCTGGTCTCAGGACGTTTCCCCTAGCTACAGCCTCTAAAGCGTTGGGGAGCTGGGTGCAGGAGGCACGCTTGGGTAGACCAGAATTGTGGTGTGGCATTGCACAGTTACCGGTGGTGGCTGTCTGGAAAGGCCAGCCCCTTGCAGGACGCCCAGGAATGTCCACACAGGGTATTGAGTTTGTCCAGAGATCATAAATCAGTGACTATCTCCGTTCAGCTACAAGACTAGCTAGCTAGCCCTGTTGCCCGAGCCACCTCCCTCCAGGGAGGCAATGGTCCAGGAGACGCTGGGACACTAATGAAGGTGGCTTTTGGCAGCGTGCATTTTGAGTGGCCTTCGGAGGGGCCACGTAGGAGAGTTGTTTTTGAAAGCTGACTTGGGAGATGAGAGTTTGTGGGCTCAGTCCAAGGAGCTCAGGGGGCAGAAAGGTGGCCCTGTGGTCAGATGTGGAAGGAGAAGCTGCCTGGTGCACCCTGGTTCTGTCACACCCTCTCAAGTGGTGGGGGGCTGTCAGGAGAGGTCAATTCTCAGGGGGTGTCCTGCCTCCCAGAGCTTCTGTCAGAGCAGACACCCACTCTTGCCCCCTGGAACCCTCATCCCTGGCCCCTGTGAATGTGGTAGCAGCTGGCACTTGTCCACTAAACACTCGCCCCCAAACAAACCTGCTGCCATCGAGTCAGTGCTGACTCGGCAACCCCCTGTGGGTGTCCGAGGCCATAACCATGTAGCTGAGTAGAAAGTCCAATAATGTTTCCCTTGGAGCTGCTGGTGGTTTCGAAATGCCGACCATGTGGATCGCAGTCCAGCTCGTAACCACTAAGGCTGCAAAAACACTGGCAGCAACCTTGCAGGGGCGGGGGCTCCTGCTCTCTCTACTGAAGCAGTCAGGCTCCCTGCCTTCCACCACAGGCTGTGCCCGACCCCAGCCTGGACTGAGCTCCTCTGGGCCACTGCTGTCAACACAGTCTCAGGGCTGGAGGGCAAGTGCTCTTAGGTAGAACTAACCCACACAGGCACACCCCATGGCACCTTTATCCTCATGCCCATCCCACCCTGCTCTTTCCTGATCAGGCCCTTGTCTACACCCTGTGTGTGTCTCTGCCCTGCAGGAGCCACCTGTGTTCCCTAGGATTGCCCACGCTCCACGGGCCCTGGCCCGCAGCCTGCTCACCTGAGGACCGGCTCCATGTTTCAGGAGTTGGGCTGCCTCTTGATCCCCCTCCACCGGCATTTGCACTGTCTGTTCATGCATTTGGCATACTTGTCCATGTGTGGGGTCAGAAGTGGACAGGGCACCGTTGATCTTTGCATGTCTATAGCCTAACAGTAAGACAGGTGACCGGGGTGTCTCACCCTGGATCAGTGTGGCTGCTGTGGACTTGGGTGTTTTGCTTTGCAGGGGTCCTGTTTTCCCCGTCATGTGTTGCTGCCTGGTGGCTGCAGCCCCGTCTGGCTGAGCAAGTCCCTGTGGCAGGTGTGGGCACAGCATGAGACTGGCCTCTCCCCTGTGAGATTTCCCCTGGGTCAATCTCTTGGGGCTGCTGAGGGGACAAGGAGGCCTCGCTCATGGGGGTGGCTGCTCCGGGGATGGGCCTGGGGCCTGGAGACTGGTTCCCGGGTGCAGCTGCCCTGTCCTGTGTCTCTGTGTGGCACTGTGCTAGGTACCAGGCCAGTTCCTAGCGGCGTGGGAGTGGTGGGCCCACTGGAGAACAGGCCCCACCCATGGGTGCTGATGCTGCTGTAGATGTTACGGGCTGCATCTTCTTGAGTTCACCCTTTCTGACACTGTTGTTCTTGGGCTGATGGGTGTATCCGCAGGCAGCTGCCTCTGGTGCCTAGGACGCAGCCTGAGGGAGTGGCTTCAGGGCTGCTGAGGTGGCCTGCCAGGGGTGGGGCTTAAGGGCCTGAAGCTGGGCTTTGAGCCTGGTGTCTGGGAAGAGAGAGAGGCCCCCCAAGGGCTCACTGCCTTCCTGGCGTTTCTGGCTTTCTTACCTGAGTGACAAGGGCCTTCTGTCCAAGCTGGTGCCTGATGGGAGGACTCTCATCCCCTGTTCACCCCAAGAGCACAGGCGATGACCCCTGGCATTCAGACCCGCCCTGACAGTGGGCAGGTGTCCAGGCCCCCGGCCCGGGCAGGGCTGACCGTGGGCTGACCCTCCCCCTTTCCATTCATCCCCAGTTCCTGTTCAGACTCGGTCTGAGACTGGGGCCATTTCCTTGGCAACAGAGCTGGAGATTCAGAGAAGAGGGATATGACTCAAGGGGGATTTGGAATAGTGCCCGGGCCAGAGCCGCATTCCCTGTGCATGGGTTGTCTTTGTACCATCCGCCACCCACCGTCTAGCACAGCACTCTTCTGCTTACCTTCTCCTGTGGGTGGGTGCAGTGGGGCCTGATGCAGGTGTGAACCTGGTTAAAAGGGCTGGGGACCTTGGTGAGGTTAGAGGGGTTCATCACACTGTGTCCGGCGCAGGGCTGCAGGTTTGAGGACGCACAGGGGACAAGAGGCTCTGAGACCTGTGCCTGCCCACAGGACATGCCCCCACAGTCACGAAGGCAGGTAGAGAGAGATCAATAGTGCATGTTGAGGCCAGTGTCCTGCCGAGCAGGTGTCCCCTCTCAGTTGTGGCTGCCTCCTCCTTGTGTTACTGCCCAGAGAAACCAGCAAGCTGCCTCTCAGTCTCTTGTTAGGCCAGGATGCGGACAGCATGACTCCCCGCTGTCCCCAACAAGGACCTGGATTTATCTCCTTTTCTAACAGTGTCCCTGTCCCCACTCCCCGTAACCTCCATTTATTGGGCACTTACTCTACGAGTCCCGAGGGGCCCCGGCAGTTTAAGCCCTCGACTGCTGGCCAAACAGTGGTTCAAACCCTGCAGAGGTCTCTGGGAAGACAGGCCTGGCTGCAGCTGAGAGTGGTCTGCTCTGGTCGGCACACGGGCCTCCATTAGTGGCAGCAACAGCAGTGCTGTTGACCGGGTCCCGTGAGATCAGTGGTTCGTGGCCTCCACTTGGCAGGCGGGCAAGGGGCAGGGGAGTGGCACAGGATCTGGCCTTCCTCCGCAGTGGGCATGGGGCCTGACAACACTGGCTCTGTGTGCACAGCACCTGCCTGTGCCTGTGCAAGTGCCACTGGGTCTGGGTAACACCCCGATGTCAAGGGTGCTGTGATCAGTCCCACTTTGTAGACGTGGCATTGGTGGGCTTCCTGTGCCCCCATGGTGTGGGGATTCTGACAGCTATGGCACCAGCCCCCATGGGCTTCTGGGGTGTGGGTCCCCAGAGCTGCGGAGCAGATGCAAGAGGTCAGGGCGCCAAGGTTCAAGCAGCTGCTGCTGTGGCCTGCCTTTTTCCTGGATTCCAGGGCCGGGGCTGTTGGTTGGGCAGTTGCTGTGGGCACCACCCCCTCCTTGTGACCTTGGGCAGACAGAGCCCCAGTGTCTGGACCTGGATTATCCCATAGGCTCCACCTGTCACTGTATGTGTGGCCAGCAAGGGCCGCTGTAGGCCTGTCTGCCCTGGTCTTCACTGGGAGGGCCGAGCAGCTGGCCCTGGCCCCGCCTCCTGGCCTCCAGGGCCCTGGCTTCCTGTGAGCACAGCAGGCTCCTTTCAGTCTGGGGAGGGAACGTTGTGCCTGGGGCCTGGCCAGTCAGCTCCAGCCCTGCTGTCCCCATGTCTGAGCGCCAGGACACAGGGGGCTGGTGGCCCTGGGTCCATAGGTGGACACGCTGGAGCCCAGGGATCCGGTGAGTTGGGGCCTTGCCGCAGGGATAAAGGGAAGTCGGAGTCACACATGGCTTGTTCCGGCACAGCGTGTCCAGCTGTCCAGCCCCGGCTCCCGTCCCTGTCCCCTCTCCTGGTGGCCAGAGGCAGGGGAGCAGGGCCTGCTGGAGGCTCTGGCTAATCCCACTCTTCCTTCCATCCACAGGAAGCCGACTCACACTCTTGTCAACTGCTGGTTCTGCAACCAGGACACGGTTGTGCCCTATGGGAACCGCAACTGCTGGGACTGCCCCCACTGCGAGCAGTACAACGGCTTCCAGGAGGTGCGGGCTCTTAGGGCTGCACCGTCTGGCCTGCATCAACCCTGGGCCGGGGCCTCCTTCCGTGTCCAAGCGTGAGGAGCAGGCTTAGAGCTGAGGTGGCTGTCACACTGCTAGACGGCAGCGAACTTGCAGTCCAATGCGGGCCCGTTCTCAGTGCTTTGTGGTAGACACTGGGCGGCAAACTCTCTCTGGAGGACTCGATAGGAAGCACCCTGAGATTTGAGCACCTTCATAGCACAAAAGCAGCCATAGGCAGTACAGAGCGAACGTGGCCATGTGCCGATAAAAGTTTATGTTGAAGAAAGGTGGCCGGCCATCAGGCTAGAGCTTGCTGGCTGCAGCATTAGACAGCAGATTGCAGTGAGCCCCACAGAGCTGTGGGCGGGGTTGGGGGGTATTTGGGGGCCAGGCTGGGGGGCTTCTCCCAGTTAAGCCTGCAGGTACTCCCTGTGAACTTATTTGGGAGAATAGGATGTTTGGGGGCCACCCCCACTTCCCCGAGGGCTCCCCATGCTGACGGTGGGTCCTGCCCCTGCAGAACGGTGACTACAACAAGCCGATCCCTGCCCAGTACCTGGAGCACTTGAACCACGGTGTGAGCAGTGTGCCCAGCCCCCAGGACCCCTCGCAGCCCCAGCAATGGGTGAGCAGCCAGATCCTGCTGTGCAAACGGTGCAGCCACCACCAGACCACCAAGATCAAGCAGCTGGCAGCCTTCGCCCCTCGTGAGGAGGTGAGACCTCCGCCTGGGTCCTGGCCGGGTGGGTGCCTCTTCTTTCCCAGGCAGCCCCAATTCTATCCAGAGTGCCTGCCAGGGGGCACGCGCCAATCCATGCTAGCCTCACCTGCTGGGGTGGGCCGGTGCTTCTCCGTCTCCCAGTGTCTTGGGGTGGCTGCTGTCAGGGTTCCCAGCCTGGGAGCACCACCGAGACCATAACTCCTGCCGGTCCTGCACTTCTGTTCCTGGCCAGAGCGTGGCAGGCTCCTGACGGGTTCCCAGGGAGACTGAGGAACAAGTCTGTCCCATCCTCCTCTCTGAGTCACCCTTGGCCCTCAGCTGGGCCCTCTGGGGGGAACTGGAGTGTCCTCCTGCCTCCTCAGAGAGAAAGGAAAGTTCAGGCCCTGGACCCTTGGTGGTAGGCACTTGGCTGCCCTGGGGCCTGCGCCTCCCGAGCCCACTGTGGTGTGCAGGGGCCTGTAGCTGGCTCATCCAGCCTGCCCACCCTCACTCACCCAGTCCCCAGGGGCCCAGGAGAAGAAGAAGCTGGAGTAAGCTTTCAAGGGGTGTTGGAGAGGCTGCTGGAAGAAGGGCATAGTGAGCTTGAGGCTTGACCCTCAGGGTGACTTCTGGCCCAGGGGACTCAGCAAGAGAAGTTGGGCTGATAACCCTCCCTGGCCACTGTTGAGAGACAGCTTGAAAGCGTTGGGAAGGGAGGCTGCGCTAGAGTCTTTTAGGCTGTTCCTGAAGTTCAAAGACCCCTCAGCCTCCATAAAGGCCCAGACCCAGCAGGGGTTTCCTGGGGTTTGGCTCTGCCACCCACCTCCCTGAGCCCTGGAGTCCAGAGGTGGGGCCTGAAGTAGGAACCCATTCCATCCCCTTCTCCTGACTTCCAGCTGCTGCCCCTTCTGGCTGACAGCCTCCTGGAGTAGCTCCCACCTCCTGCTGCTGCTGGCCCTCCCTCCGTGAGAGTAGGGGGCAGAGTCTGCCCCAGGCCCTCAAACGGGCGGCCTTGGTGTCTCCTGCAGAGCAGGTACGATGAGGAGATCGAGGTGTACCGGCACCACCTGGAGCAGACATACAAGCTGTGCCGGCCCTGCCAAGCGGCCGTGGAGCACTACATCAAGCACCAGAACCGCCAACTTCGTGCCTTGCTGCTCAGTCATCAGTTCCGGCGCCGGGAGGCCGACCAGTCCTGCATGCAGGTCAGCGCCGGCGTCCGTGCAGGAGACTCTTCTCCAGCCTCCCATCCCACCAGGTGTCGCATCTTTCAGCCCAGAGTCAGGCTGCCTGCGTAGTCTGCGGTGACCCCTGTTTGCACCACCAACACCAAACTTGGGGAGGCTGAGAGACATGTCCTGACCACTCTCCTAGGCAACAGGCCGCTGGCTGGACACTGGGCCCAGGGCTGCCTGCCTAAAACCTCTTAGTGCCTTTTTAGTCATTCTTACAGTAATCCATGACTGGGGTATTCTGGTTTCTGTCTCTGTTTTTAATTATATATACACCAGCATGCGAGGTCGGATGTGGAAACGGCCCCACCCTCTGGTCCAGCCATGCTGTTACCAGTTGGTCCCTGGTTTCTGGGCACATGGCACCCCCCACCATGGCTGTCACCTGTTTGCACAGCAGAGAGACGGCTACTCCGTCGCCTGGGTTTTGCTGGCTTTCTGGGGCGTAGACCGCCTTTTCTCAGCCACCTGGTGTTGTACTCTTTCAAATGTCTTTTTTGTCTAGTTACCTGTACTTTTTTTCTTTTTTGCAATTTCAAAGAACATCTTCAGAGTAGGAATTTGGGTGACAAAATGCTCAGTCATTCCTCTGGACAGCAAGGTGACTGAATTGGAAGGTTTGGCTGTGTATGGTTGCAGGGCGGGGGTTGTCTCAGAGTGGGGGGGGCTGTCCCTCCCCTCAGCAGCTTCCCTAAAGGCATGGGGACTCTGAATGGACAAGACTCAGAACAGGAGGTGACGTCTTGAATCTAAGTCGAGAACATATGACAGTTTAGGCCCGGAACCTTCAGTCACCAGGAACCTGGTGACTTCCTCTGTGAGTTGTGTAGCCTTCTAGCCTAGCCCAGCTCCACGCCAGCCCCAGCATCCTGAGCCGATGCTCACAGGGTGGGCAGTGAGGGCTGTAGTCACCGCAGCTGACCGACAGTCTCCCTCCTTCCCTCCAGAGCATCTGCTCCTCGGCGGTGAAGGCTCCGCTGCAGGTCATCGTGCTCCGCGCCCTCGCCTTCCTGGCCTGCGCCTTCCTGTTGACCGCCGCACTCTACAGTGCAGACAAGCCCTTTGCCCCGGGGGCCACCCTGCCCCCTGCCCTGCCTCCCGGTGGCAATGGTTCAGCTGTGCCTGACAACAGCACTGCCCCGGGTGGTGAGGGCTGGCAGCAGCTGCTGGGCCTGCTACCGGAGCCTGCAGTGGAGAAGCTGCGGCAGGCCTGGGCCTTCGGGCAGAGCCACCAGATGGGCATCGTGCTGCTTGGCCTGCTGACCTGCCTCCTGGCCATGCTGCTGGCCGGGCGCCTCAGGTGGGTGTGGGGCGTGCAGAGCTGGCAGCTAGGCAGCTTCGCCCTAGACTGCTGCCCAGGGACAGGGCTGTGGAAAGGAGGGTGCCGAGGGAAGACTCAGAAGGCCCCGACTGCTGGTCGAGTCAGTGCACTGGCCCCAGGTGGGCTCTGGTATGGCCGGAACAAAATGAAGTCCTGTTCATGCGGCCTGGTGGGCAAGACGGGCACGGCAGTGGCCCTCAGAGGTGGCCTCTCACTGTAAGGTACAGCCGGAAGTACCTCTACCCTGGCATCGGGGTGACAACCACCTACTTGGGGTGGGGGCCGCATTCAGGGGGACATTTGGACTGTGACCCCATTGTCGTTTTCCTTAGGGTGACTTGAGTTCCTGAGTCCCACCTAACCAGGCAGCACAGGCTGGGGAGCCCGCCGCCACGGCCCCCATCCTCCTTGGGTTCTGGGCTCTGCAGCTGAAGGAGGCACGGAGGGCCTGCTCCTGTCTGGGGCCTCACTGCCCGCTGTCCTCTGCAGGCTCCGGAGAATCGACGCCTTTGCCTCCTGCCTCTGGGGACTGCTACTGGGGCTGCACCTGGCCCAGCAATACCTGCAGATGGCCTCGCCCAGCTGGCTGGACACACTCAAGTTCAGCACCACGTCCCTCTGCTGCTTGGTGGGCTTCACGGCAGCTGTGGCCACAAGGAAGGCGACAGGCCCACGGAGGGTCCGGCCCCGAAGGTCAGAGAAGCAGCAGTGACTGCGGGGCTGGGGGAGGATAGGACAGACAGGCCCCAGGCTTTGCCCACACTTTCTCTCCACCCCTTTCTGGCCTGCCTCACTCTCACTCTGCCAGCCTAGAGCCCATTCTGGGCCTTCGCGTGCTTCCCTGAGCCTGCCCCCTATCCTTCCCAGAGCCACGTTGCTCCTGAGCAGGCGCTCCCTGCAGGCCCTCTAGCTGCTACTGTGGCCACTCCTCTGGCCCAAGTCCCTCTGGCCTGCCTCTGACTGTGACTTCCTGTTGGCAGCTCTAGCCCCCAACCATCCCACCCGCTTTCTCCTGCCTCTGAAGCCACTGGCTGAGCAGTGTGGCCACAGCTGAGTGGGGCCACTTGTCTGGTTCTGCTCTAGGAAGCCCAGCTCTGCCCAACCAGCTGGGCCCTCCATGTTCTTTCTGGCAGGCTGGGTGCAGGGTGTCCCTAGCCACTTCCGGCCCTTGGCGGCCACTCCTGGAGGTACGGAGGGCATCCGCTCTCCACCTCCACAGCAGGTCGACTACAGCACCCACTGCTCTCTCCAAGCCCACCCCCACTCCTTGAATTTTGTAGGACGAGGGGCCTGGGGGGAAACGGAGGCACCCAGGGGTGCCACCCCCAGAGGAAGGCTTGACCTTGACCTTGGCATATTCCAGGCACAGACCTGCCACTCATCAGGTGGGAAGTCTCAGCTAGGCCCTTCCCCTTCCCAGCCTCAGTTTACCCTCTCCTAGGCCCTTGGAGTGCAAACTCAGCAGACCTCGGCTGCCCCTCCCCTCTCTCCCCTCTCTGCCTCAATTGGACGTGCTGCTGTCAACTCATCCCGCCTTTGCGCCCCCGTCCCTGTTCCCAGGCGACCACTGGCAGCCACGTGCCCCCTGGGTACAGACCCGCAGCACTGCCCGGGCCAGCCAGGGCGTGTGACCTCCCAGAGCCTCCATGTCTTTTTCCTTACTTGGTGCCACATGGCTGGCTTCCACACCCGAGCTCTGGTGAGGATCCCGCGCTCCGGGATCCTCAGGAGGCCCACACGAAGGCGGGCTAGAAGTATCCCCTCCTGCCATAGTGCCCTCGGGTGACTCCAGGTGGGCTGCACTCTCCCCCCAGGCCCTGTGTGTCCTGCACACATTGTTCTGAACATCAGCTCCCTTCCAGAAAGTGTGGGTGGGCTGTATCAGCCCCGCCACCTCATGCCGGGAGGGTGCAAGGTGGGCGGGTCGCATTCCCCCACAGAACTGCCAGCCAGCTGGTCTGAGAGTGGCCTGGAGTCTGAGCGCCCCGCTCTCTGTCTGTCACTTATGTCCCTGGGGCCCTGAAAGGCTGCCCTGCCCCATGTAGCCAGCCTCACTCCCCTCACCGTCTGTGGAGACCCTCAGCCGGTGAGGAGACCTTCCGAGACCTCTGATGCTCCCACCCTGCCTGTGGCCTCAGACAAGGAAACAAGCCAGTTTCCTGCTGCCCTCGGGGTGGGGGAGAGCCACTGCAGAAGGGGCCGTGTCCCTTGGGGCCTGGGACCCAGACCCAGACCAGAAGCCCCTCTGGCAGGGTGTCTCCCTGAAGGGAAGGAGCTGCCTGCCTATGTGTGCCCACATCCCCACCCCAGGAGGGACCATCAGGGAGAAGAGGGGGCAGCTCTAAGCCTCAGGAGTCTGCTCTCGAGGAAACCAATGCTAGTGAGGCGCTAGGGGCTGCTTTGCTTGGCACTGGGGAGAAGCAGGACATCTGTGTGTATGTGTGTATTTAAATTAGAGTATTTATCATTACCAGAGCCAGCCCTCATGCTGGCTGGGAGCCCCTGCCAGGCAGATGTCTCTGCTGCCCTCTAGCGGAGCATGGAAGGCAGACTGCCTGGGGAGAAGCCTCTTTAGAGGAAGGGCTGTGTGTGACTTGAAGTTACCCCTTAGCTCCTTAGTTTCATCCCTTGGAGAATGCCCCCGCCCCCTTCTGATGCTGTCGGCATCGGCGGAGGATGTGCTGACCCCCGGGGATTGTAGCTTGTTTACTTCGAGTGAGGGGGCATCACCCCTGGTGGTCCCCCACGGCTGGGGCTATCCAGGTGGTGCCCAGGCTGCCTCCACCCAGCTCCCACCAGTCCCCTGGGATTGCTCCTCCGGTAGCACTGGCCCAGGACAGATCGCCAGAACTCATCCTCCCGGCTCTGGAAGGCGGCGCCCCCCATCCCGACTGCTCCGATCTCCCCGTCTCTGTGTAGTAGGTTGTGGAGAATTGTTTAGTGCCCTCATCGCTGTAAACACCACTCCCGGCCACAGCCGCTGTGTCCATGCCGTGTGTTCAATAAATGGCTCCCGGCCCGCTTTCTACCGGTTTGGTGTCAGGCGCCATGTCTTTTCTGTTTATTCTGTGTGTTCGTTAGAAGTTTCTGTGCCCGGGGAGGGGACCACGGCAAACAACTGCTCCAAACCTTGGGTCCACAACTAGGGCTGGCGGTGGAGGAGGGCTGACACCCCTCATCCCCACCCCAGGTTTGGATTCTGGGTCCCTCTCCAAGGCCTGGTTGGAAAACAGGGCAGTCTCGGCTGGCGTCGCCAAAGGGAACTCAGCTCCTGTAGGTGTTCTTTGAGCGCCCCAAGCTCCTCGGACTGGAGCAGGTGCCCTCTGGGGTCCATGCTGGGGTCGTGTTGAGAGCACTTGCTTGGCGCTTTATAAGGACCACCTGACTGAGTGATGGGCCTGCGTGATGTCACAGGGAGAGGGCCCGGACACCAGGAAGTCCCTCTGCCTGCCAGGGCCAGCATAGCCAGGGACACCAGAGACCCAGCAGCACTGTACCAGGTGGATGAGGGATCCCAAGGTGATCTTGGGGAGGCCGGAGGGTGAGCAGGGGCTAAGAAACATGGTAAGAGAGCTGGTGAGACCGGCTGACTTCCTGGCCCCCAGTAGCCCCTCTGACACCCCAGCCAGCCACCACTTGGACCCCAGGCCTGCCTGCTCCAGGTAGCATGTAACCTCTTTGCCAGCGCACTGGCCAGGGCAAGGTCCTGCTGCCACCTGCTGGGAGGGCCTGGGCATGACACCTGTGCAGGCCCCAGTGCCCTGCTGTCTGCCCTGCTCCTCTGAGACAGACACCGCACGAGGCGCCACTCACTGACACGAAGGCTCACGAATGGCTGGAGCAACTTGTCCCCAGGCTCCAGCCCACCTCGGCTGCCCCTGTAGGGGCCTGGCTGCTCCCCAAGTTTCCAAACGACTGTGATTTCCTAGTAGAGGTGGCCCCATCCCCAGATGTGGCTTCAGGGCAGGGAAGGGGCGGCGGGTGTCAGTGGATGGAGCGCAGCGAGCCCCTGCCTTGATTTCCAATTCCGGGCTCCCCAGCCGCTGGGTCTCACCTTTGGCTCTGAAGACCAGGTGCCTTGGTGGGCCCCGTGATTCTCCAGGAAGTGAACAGCTGCCCCACATCTGCCCTGTGAAAGGTTTGAAAAGGCAGAGGTGTAGCATTTTAGTGGGTCTAGTAATGCCCCGAGCGGTTGGCCAGGATTCCCATATGCAGGCGCCATAGCCAGCCCCTGGGCTGCAAGGAGGCCTACCTGCCTATCTGTCGGCAGATGTCAGGGGCTCACTGGTCCCTGGGGACCGAGGTAAGGCTGAGTTCCCACCAGATGGTGGACTAATGTATTAACTGCTCCGTCCCCCACCCCACCCTCTTCTGTAATCGGTTGCCTTAATCAGAAGCATGGTTGGCCTTCTGGCTTGGAGCCCTCGGCCTGTCGTGTGATTTGTGCTCCTCTCAAGTTAAAGCGACACTGTCACCCTCCGTCTGGCGGACAGCGGTAGTGGGCAGTCCGGCTTCGAGATTGGTCTGTGGTAGCCTCCCTCGGGGGTGGGGGTGGGGTGTTTTACAAAAGCTTGCCCCTCTGGGCCACACAGGGCTACAGAGGTGAGTGCCCATGGGGCGGCCCCTACTGGCAGTGTGGCTGGGGGAACAGAGGGCTTCGAGGGGGCTGTCTGGCTTCTGGGAACTGCCATGGTCTTGCCCCTCGCAGTCCAGGCCCGGCTGTTCTGTTGGGGAGCTGAGGCTACCACAGGCTCTAAGCATGGAACAGGAAGTAGCCAGGAAGGAGTAGGCCACACCCATTGGCCTTGATGGACATCTGGTGCCCTTTCTGCTTTGAGGCGAGGGAAGGGATGCGTGAGGTTGGCAAGAGCGACAGTGTCACTTTAATGCCGAGACATGTAGTGGAGTCATTTGCTGTGAGCGTGAGTGGGGTCGGAGGGGCATGCTGCAGGGGGGTGCGGGGGTCATGCTGGCACCTCCCAGCCACCCGCACCTAATGGCGTGAATGTGGCGGGACTGCTTTTCTGCTTCAACTAATGCACGCCGCCTCTGAGGACCCCAAATCAGGCCCCACCCCCACCACCCCCTCCCGGCACAGTGGGAAGGCCGTGTGAGGCCACCTCGCCTGACCCTCTCCCTTCTCTGGGGCCTGATGGGCTCACACAGGTATTTCCCAGGAGACCCTGCTGGCCTCTTCCCCACTGTCCCCAGCCTGGCCATCCCCTACCCAGGAGTTGGAGCCACCTCGCCAGCCCTGCTCATCCCCGCCCCTCCCGGCTTCCTGCCCCTCGCCAGCCAGCAGCTGTTCCGCTCACCCCGACGGGCCTCACCCTCCTCCCTGCCAGGCCGCCTCCACCGGGCCCTCTCACTGGGAACCATGCCTTCTCTGACCCGAGCAGGTAAGAGGCACTGCTGCTGGACACAGGGTCACGGGATGAGGAGGTGGGAGGTCGGGAGCTTCTGCTACTGAGGCGGGCAGAACTGGGCCACTGTACAGCTGGCTGGGGCCAAGTGCAAGAACCTCTCTGAACCTCGGTTTTCCCTCAAAAAATTGGGGCTGGGAGGACTGCCATGGGTGGTGGGGGTGGCTGTGAGGACTGAGATCTCTGGCTGAGTGGGTGCTGAGGGAGTGTCGCCAGGGTCGGGTCTGGGATCCTTCTCACTGGGGCTCCTGACACACTGTTGTGATGGAGGCCTGGACACCCACCTCCCAGGAAGCCCGGAGTCAGGGACTCAGTTCAGGACAGTGGTACCGATGAACCCAGGTGATGGAGATCCGGTCCCCGCCTGTCGGTAGAACCTGTCGCCAGGAGCTCCCCACACGGAAGATTCCTCTCCCCTCCCCTTTCCTGATAGACTCTCCAGGCAGTGATGGAAACCAGCTCTAACGTTACACATACTTAAGAGCCACACAGGTGTTTTGTGACCGAGCCCCTGCTACCTGTGGAAGCGCCCTGGGTCCCACCTTCAGAGCCTGGGTAGCAGTTTGGACCAACCAGCAGGAAGAGGTCCTCAGAGGACTCTGGGTGACCCCGCTGGGTCAGCTGACCATCTTTAGTCCTTCCAGTGCGATGGCATGGGGAGGGGTTGGCATGTGCTGTGTGCCCTCAGGCCCTTCAGACTAGGGGTGGAGGAGGGCAGCCACTGCCCATGGTGGGCATCTGCCCTTCCTTGGTTCTCAGCTTGGGGAGCATGAGACCCAGGAGATAGGTCCTGGGGTACTTGGGGTGCACTTGATTCCAAAAGGGAGTTTGTGCATCCTGCGAGCCCTTGTAGGTGGTAGGGGCACTGGAGTGGGTGGAGGCTGGGAAGCCTGGCCTCACAAGGAAAGATGGGCACAGTGCCTGCCATCAGGGCCCGCTCCCAGCCCGACTCCCGTGTTTGGGTTTCTTAGCTCACCTCCTCGGGTGTCAGGGTGTGTGTGACAGAGGCCGATTGAGAGCGGTCGGGGGCAGCGAGAGATACAGCGTGTGCAGGCTGACCTCCCCGCTTTCTTCCCACTCCAGACTCGGGGTACCTGTTTAGTGGGAGCCGTCCACCCTCTCAAGTGTCGCCCTCAGGTGAGGCTCCTGTTCCGGGTAAGGGGGACCAAGAGCTCCAGGGCTGGGGTAGGAGGGCTCTGTGGCCACACCCCAGCCTGCCTGCTTACAGCCTAGGGAGTGACTCAGGCCTCGGGGCCTCGGCTTCCTCCTCTGGGGAATGGGGTGAAAGTCAGGACTAGGGGGTGGGTACTGCCTGTGTACCAAGCCCACACGGTCAGTATCTGACCTCATCATGGTCGGGACCTACCGGGGGCCTGGCCATCCATGGGGACTTGGGTTGGCTGACCCTCGCTGTCTGAGTGTGCCTACCTGGGCCCAATGCTGGGGGGATCGGGGGCTTGAATGAGCACCATGAGTCTCCTGTCCCCCTCTGAGTGCAGGCCATTCCTCCTGGTTTCCCACAGATGTCCCTCTGTCCCCTGTCCCCCTTCCAGCCTGTCTTCTCCTGCGTTAGCATGTGTTAGCACGGGGGGAGGGGGCCAGCCAGCCACGGATGTCCTGTTTGATGGTTGCCGTGGTTTGTATCACCCAGCCTTCTTTTCTCCGCTGTCTGGGAGCGGCCCCTCTTCCCCGGCGCCCTCGGTGGCAGGCTCCATGGCCTCCAGCTCCAGCTCCTTGCGCCACCGCAGACCTCTCATCAGCCCCGCCAGGCTCAACCTGCAGGGGCAGAAGCTGCTGCTGTTCCCATCAACCCCCGGGGAGGCCCCCAACACGCCCAGCAGTTCGGACGAGCTCTCCCCACACCTCTTCACCTGCGAGCCGCTGGCTGTGCCCCTGAGGCCATCCCTGCGGGATACCAAGCACACCGCGGGTACGGCTGGGAGGGACCCAAGGACCAGGGGCGGTGCACGGTTGCTGTGGGACAGGGGCTCTGCTGAGGCCTCTGAGGGCCAGTGTCCTTCCTCTGTGTGACCCGGGAAGTAGCACGACCAGACCTCCCTCGCAGGGCCACCTGTGCTCCTGTCAGCGGGGGCGAGGTCACTCTCCCAGCTTGAATCTCTAGGGCATGACCCCTCTGCTGGTCATCTCTGCCTGGCCCCGGGCGTGTGTCCTCAGGGTGGGTCCAAAGCGGTCGCCATGGCCAGGTTTTGTTTTGCTCCCGCCACGTTGTTTGGCAGAGCAGCCTCCATCGGACCAACACCTCCACTGGGCAGGGGCAGGAATGTGCAGGCGCCCCGAGTTTCTGACCTCCCCGGACCCAAATCCTAGCTGGGCAAGTCCAGCCACCTGCCATAGCGGGGCCTGGCCTGCTGCTTCTAGCCCTGCCGAGGCTGGGCCCAGGGTGAGAGGTGGGGCTGGCTGCCCACGGCGAGCTGGAAGTGAGTGCCTGCTGAGCTTTTTCTTCTCTGCAGACAGCGCAAGGCCCGCAAGAGGCCGCCCCATCAAGAAGGAGGACGACTCCTCCCAGTCGTCCGCCTGCGTGGTGGACACCACCACCAGGACAGGCTCCGAGGAGGCTGCTGCCTGGAGAGGTCTGTGCGCAAGCACCCATCCCCCAGGGGTGGAGCCGGGGGAGCCGTGGGTCTGGGCCACCTTAGGTGGTGAGCTCACCACCCGCCAGACCGCGGCCCTGCAGGATGGGGGTCTAGATCAGCGACATAGCTGTCCACCACAGCTGCCCCCAGTCACAGGCGACTGTTGAAGTGCACATGGCGTTACATTAAGTTCAATTGTAAGCCCATTTCCTCAACCCCATGAGCCATATTTCATCCCCTCAAAAGCTGCCACCCTCAACCAGCAGGCCCCAAACACTTCCTCCCCAGCAAGCCTTCTGTTGGCCCTCACTGATCAGCCTTGGGTCCGACCCTGTTGGCCATGGCAGAGGTGAGGTCAGCCCTGCAAGCCTGCGCCCTCCAGCGACACCGGCGGGCACTGCTGGTCACGTGTGGCCTGGAGGGTTCGTGCATCTCAGAGGCCCAGTCTTATAAACACACACACACACACACACACCCATCCCCACTGTGCAGACTCAGGAGAGATCGTGTCTCGGGGGTGGGGGGGGTGCTTCCACAAGGGACTATGGGCAGGCCTGGGTGGAAAAGGACACAGGGTAAGGTGTCCCTTGCTGGGAAAGTGCTCAAACAACCCCCAGGAGCTCTGTCCTCTGAGGGGCATGGGTGCTCAGCCAGCCAGCACCCTTGACCCTTATTTCTGCTCTTGCAGGTCACTTCGGCCCCTCCCTGGTCAAGGGCCTCCTGGTTGCGAGCTTGGCTGCCAATGCTCTCTTCACCTCGGCCTACCTGTACCACAGCCTGCGCTGACCCTGTGGGGCCTGAGGGACAGGAGGCCAAAGCCTCAGAAGCCTCCCTGGCACCAGCCAGGACTTATCCCCCAGGGGACTTTCTACCCAGCTACCTGCTGGCCGGAGTGTGTCCTTAAGCCACTCCCCTCGGCTGACACTGGGGGTGTTAGGTGCTGACATTCTGAGCCCTGGGCCTGGGCCCTCTCTCCACCTCCAGCCCAGCAGGAAGGCTGCCTCTACAGTGCCTGCAGAGAGCTTGTGGGTCAGGTCCCGTGGGACAGCCCTCTGGGCGTCCCTCTGCCCACTGAGCTAAAGATAGTGAGGGGATTTGTCTCATTCTCCCCGCCACCTCACCCAGTGATCCCACCCTTGGGCCGGCCTCTTGAGATGTCCTTCCCCCAAATCAGCCCTTCCTGCCCCCAGCTCTGCCCCTCCTGGCCAGAGGCTCCTCCAAGCTCCTGGGACTCCGCCCCATTGAGGCTGTAGGTACTCAGGCCCAGTGTAAGTACCTGCTGCCCTCTCCTGCCCTCATTTCATTACCTCTGATGACCCTCCCAGGAAGCAGCCCACGAGAGCACAGAGCGCAGGTCCCCTGCCCACGTCATTCCCTGGCTAGGCCTCAGTTGGCCTGGCCTGCCAGCCACTAGGACCCCAGGCCACCTGCCCTGGTTGCTGCCACTGGCCCTCAGGCCAATACTGCTGGGTTGTCCCTTTTCCTACTCCTGTGCCCCATACTGTCCCCAGAGTAGAGGAAGCCAGGGCCTCAGTCCCGCGTTGGGACCCTGGAAATACTGTGAGGAAGGAGGAACTGCCGGGCAGGTCTTCGCAGGGCTGGAGGAAGGGCCATCTCATTCAGGGATAAAGGTCGATTTTATTTTTGTACACGTTTATGCAGCAGGCGCCCAGTTCTCCTGCCAGCGAGGTGGTGTTTTTAAGCTTTGGGTGCTTTTTAATTGTTTTTAACGCGTGGGGCTAGATTGCCCAGGCTCACCCTCCCTGTCTCCCCACACTCCTGCCCTAGCACTGCTGAGCACTGCTGAGTGTGGGAAGGGGACAGCTCCG